GAGAGACGCTCGTGCGGCAGCTCAGAGACGTGGAGGATGGTTAAGGGATGCAGCCCAGCCTGGCACCGGGGGCGGGGGGATCACCTGGCACATCCTGGCTGCGGGTGATGGGATGGGGAGGTCCAGTCTCCTGTCCGGCTGTGGTCTGGCTGCAGGCATGGCAATGGTGTCTGCCAGGATGCTCCTGGGATGACGGGGTGACCCCCAAACTCTGACGGATGCGGTTACCAGCCGCCTCCCTTGCCAGGGGGAACATGGGGTCAGCAATGGTTCAGCTGGCTGCATGGGTCCGGCTGTCGGTGCCCTGGCTGCTGGGCTGAGGAGAGATGGAGAGAGGGATGGAGAGGGGAAAAAACTCAGGAAGGGGGAAGGAATTGAGCAAAAGGGGAGAGACAGCATGTATGTGCATGGACAGCATGTGTGTGCATGGAGGGGAGCATCAGGAGGAGACACTCTGAAGCCAGAAAAATTAAAAAGCCACAGGGAGAAAAGTTACAGAGGGAAGAAAATAGCAGCAGGGAGAAAAAAGCAGGAGGAAGGAGGAGGAAAAAAAAAAAAAGCACTCAGTCACTACTGAATAATGTAGGGCAGGCTATTGGGGGCTAGTGAGAGTGACAAAAGCTCCCAGCCTTTTCTTTTTTCGTCATTAACAGATGGAGCCGTGCATGAAAGCAGGAACGTAGGCTCCAAACCCGCAGCTCGAGCAATCAAAGCGTGCGGCAGACAGGAGTGTGCCAGCCTCCGCCACAGCCAGGCGGCCGGAAGGGATGGGAAAAGCTCTCGTGGCTCACGGGATGGGGACAAAGAGGCGAAAGCGATCCCCATCTCACCTGCTCTGCCCCCACCAACGCAGCTGGCTCCACTTGGATACAAGTGGGGGCAGCCCTGGTGGGAATTATCCCTGATGGGAGGATGGGAATTCACCTTTTCACTCACCTTCCCTTCCCTCTGGCTGTCCCTCCCCTTCGTCTCAGCCAGCTGCACCTGAGGGTCCTTGAGACACACCCCCCCCCACTCCTCCCAAAAAAGGGGCTAAAGCCCCCTCCCCATCAGCTCTTCCCTCCCTGTTTTAGGGAGACCAGAGGCAGGATGCACTTTGCCGGGCATAGAGAGGTTTTGCTGTCTGCGAGAGCTGGCATTTGGTCAGGGCTGGCAAATGTCCCCCGCATAACCTCTCTTTTCTTCCTTGGTTTTGGTTCTCCGTGTTGTTTTTCCGTGCAAAACCTGTGGGTTTGTCCCAGCAGACCTTGCTGGAGGCTTTTCCAGACCCTGGGGCATCTCAGCTGCCCTCTCGTTTGCAGCTTGAGTGTGTTCCTGCCCAGTGCAGGGCCGTTTGTGCTCCTGCCAACATCATCTTCTCACCCTCCCTCTCCCTGCTAACTTCTCCCTGCTGTTCCCATCCGCCAAGGTTGCATCCTGCCCAGTCAAACCTGGCTTTCCTCCGTCTTTCCTCCAGCCTTTCCCTCTGTTGTTCATGATGGACAGCAAAGACTGGGGGTGACATGGGGGGCATCCCCCCCCTTCATCTTTGTGTGCATGACCATCAGGTCCTGTCCATCCTGGAAAAGCAGGATATAGGGAAGAAGAAAAAGCTTGAAGAGCCACAACCATAGATGAGCATAGTGACCTCCTCCAGGCCAGCTCCGAGGCTGGGGGAGGGGGCCTGTGCAGATCAGCAGGGATGGCATAACCCCATGTCCCACCAGCACAAGTCCAGGGCTGAAGCAGCCATGCAGACCCCTCTCAGTGCCAGAGCAGCCGTGGTGGCCCCTGCTTTGGCCTCTGCCAGAGCTTTGGAAGTTCTGGCAGCACAGAGAAGGCGGTCACCATCTTTCCAAGCCCATGGCAGAGAGCCTAACACCCCAAGGACATGGGGAAAGGAGAAGGCTGCTATTTATGGAGGAACCCCGTGAGCATGGCAAAAGTCCACCTTCTCCCTTCCAGTCTAGTTTTCTTCCAGCTGGGATGGGGTCTCCCAGCGAGGTGGCATCTGGGGTCTTTGCAGGGTGCAGTAGCGTCTGGGAGCATCCTCGCTAGGTGCTAGGTTTTGGATCAGCTAAGGGAAGAATTTTGGTCTGGATTTTAACCCTGGTGGGACAAGATGTGCTTGATATCCTCAAGTGATGGGTCACGTCTTGAGGACCGGAGGACCTACCACTGGCCCCACTTCTCTGTGGCATCCCAATGGCCTGGGAGAGGCTGGCTTATGCTTACAGAAAGCTACCTGCCCCACCTGGCACACGTGCATGCACCCCCGCGCGCTGGCTAAGCTGGGCTAAGAGGATTACAGCCCCGTTATGTGGTGTTAATGAGCTGGCTGTGGAAAAGCAGCCTCATGAGCAGCAGGGAGGGGAGCTCCGAGCTCCTTTCCATGCTGTCCCCTCCTCGTGGGAGGCTGCCCACGGGAACAGAGACAAGGGATGACCTGAGTGCCCATGTATCCCATCCTTGCTCTGCTTCTGAAGTGGCAGGAAGCCAAGCTTTGTTTCACAATAATGAACTCGATGGGAGCTCTGAGAGGGGAGATACAAAGTCAGCTGGAGGCTCTTGGAGAAGACTGCGCTGCGGATGTAGGGTTGTGGTCCCAGCGCTCCCCGTGGTGGTGTGGGCTGGCATGTCCTTATTTAACCTCTTATGGTGACACCGCACTGAATTTTCTCTTTTCTCCCTCCTTTCCCTCTTGTTGCGGCTGCGCGGCGGCGCTGCCCAGCCCGCACCAACGGCTCAGCGCCCACCCCCCCAGCCCTCGCCCGCGACGCCCTCCACACCAAGATGGAGCAGCTGGAGGAGCAGCTCCTCTCCAAGATCCTGACCCTGCAGAAGGAGCGCCAGGCCGCCAGCACTGACCGCAGCCAGCAGCAGCACAACATTGAGAAGGAGCTGAACTCCCTCCAGAACCGCGTGACCGAGCTGGAGCATGGTGAGTCTTGCCCGGTGGGGATGGAGGTGGTGCAGGGGCGTTCCTACCCCAAGGTGCATCTCCAGGAGAGCCCCAGGACAGGCCACCCTCATCGCCATGATGGATGCTGACCCTCCTATCTCCTCCCCATCCTTGGCACGCAGGACCACCAGGCTACAGTCCTCCCGACGCCTTCAAGGTGACCATCCCGGTGCAGAACAATTACATGTATGCCCGCATGAAGAAGAGCCTGCCGGAGCTCTATGCCTTCACCATCTGCATGTGGCTGAAGTCCAAGGCCCTGGGGGGGCTCGGCACCCCTTTCTCCTACTCTGTCCCAAGCCAAGCTAATGAGATCGTGCTGCTGGAGTGGGGCAGCAACCCCCTGGAGCTGCTTATCAATGACAAGGTCAGCCCAGCCGCAGCGGGGGGCGGGAGGGAAGCTCCTGCCCTCATCTCCCCTGTTTCAACAACCCCCCCTGGGAGATGATGCTCCTGGGGCTACCAGTATGGGGGAGCTGGGAGGAAGGTGCTCAGGAGGGAGGGGGGAGGCAGGAGGATGAGGAGGATTGGGAGGATGGCTCGCTGGGGCGGGTTTTGAGAGGGAGAAGCAGCACATCAGGATGTTTATAGAATTTGGGGTGCCACCACTGTGGGGGTCCACCGCTTACTCTGAGAAGGGCTGGCAGGGACACTGGAGTCCCCCAGCAGTCCCACCAAGCACCAGGCTCTTGCTCTTTGTGCGAAGGTCGCCCAGCTGCCGCTAAGCCTGAAGGACAAGGCCTGGCACCACGTCTGCGTGGCGTGGACCACCCGGGATGGCAAGTGGTCAGCGTACCAGGACGGCGAGCAGCGGGGTGCCGGCGAGAACCTGGCCTCCTGGCACGCCATCAAGCCCCAGGGCGTCATCATCCTGGGCCAGGAGCAGGTACGTGCTGGCCTGCCACCAAGGGCTGCCGGTTTGCATCGCTGCAGCCAGAAGGCAGTCAGGGGGGCAGCCCCCAAATGGGGCGAGGGCAGGGGGTGGTATGGGCAGGAGCACTCAGCATGGCACATTGGCAGCTTGGGCAAGGGGCTCTCCTGCCTGCTCAGCTGACCTCCTGGCAGGCCACATGCGCTCATCATCTCTTCCTTGTCCCTCCCTGCATCCCTCCGTCCCCCATCTGCTCCCTGCCTTGTCTTCTTCCATCCCCTCCTCTCCTTGCCATCGGGCATCTCGCTCCGCTTCTCCCCAAACTTCTCCCTCTCCCTCTTGCCCTGTTTGCCCACTGGATGTGTGTTCCTTCTCCTGTCCCCATCCCTGTCCCATCCTCTCTCCTGCTCTTTCCCAGGATACGCTGGGCGGCCGCTTTGATGCCACGCAGGCCTTCGTGGGGGAGCTGGCGCAGTTTGGCGTGTGGGACCACATGCTGGCGCCGGCAGAGATCCTGGGCTTGGCCAACTGCACCTCCCACCTCCAAGGCAACGTGATCCAGTGGGACGACCAGGCCGTGGAGGTCTTCGGGGGTGCCAGCAAGGGGGGCTTCGCTGCCTGCGACGAAGGGAGGAAGGCATAAGCGGTCCCTTGTCCCTTCCCCAGTGTCAAGGAGCCTGGCAGCAGCCCTGAAGCAGGGAGCCCCTCTCTCCCCTCCCAGACTGCTGAGCCTTGCCACTGCGCTGGGGCGATGCTCAAGCCCCCCAAGCTGGCATCCTGGGAGGGATGGGGGGGGGCCCTGCACCAGTGGCGTGGCTTGAGGCATGCCTGCTCCCAGGTCTCGCCTTGCCCTGCTTCTGTTTTGGGAGGCTCTTGCCGTACCCGTAGGCATCTCTGGTACGACGAGGGTCCCTGCCTTGTCGGCCCCAATGGCGAGGGGGAAGGAGACCTCTGTCCTCCTCGAGTGTGGTCTGGCCTCAGTGGGATGCCAGCGTGCAGGCATCCCCGGAGCACATCCCCTGTCCTTATTTATTTCTAGTGCCCTGCTATCCGGTTTTGTGAGCCCGTACTCCAAACGAGCCCAAAGGCTCGGCTGGGAGCATCTTCCCCTCTGGCCCCGTCCCCTCTTCTCGTACCACCCTGGTTTGTCAAGTGTGGCCCCAGGGAGGCTGAGGGAGGATGGTGGAGGGTCGGTGGGGCAGCATTCCCTGCCCTGCATCCCTTTCCCTGCCCGAGGGAAGTCAGGCTTTCAAGGCAGAGGGAAGCAGCGTGGGCTCCCCCCCGCAAGCTGGGGGATCGGTCACCACCGAGGGAATGGGAGGAATGGGGCAAAGCGTCTCCCCTAGCTCTGGCTGAGGGGGAAGAAGTGCAGCACTGCCATCAAAAGCAAGGAAAAAAAAAAAAAAAAGAGGCAAAGGATGGTGGTGGCCAGACGAGCCCTGTCGTCCATCTCTTGGCCTTTTGAATGCTGGTTTGGGTTTCTGCCTTTGCCTCCACCCGGCTCCCCTGCTTTGAGCTGCTCCTGGCCAGGGACAGGGCCACCGCTGGCCTTGGAACTGGGCGGAGGTGATGGGGTGGGCTGGTATTTCCCTGTGGAGTGCCTGAGAATACGCTGTTTCCACACCGTGTGGTCACCAACGTCTCACAACAAGAGTGCGTGTGTGTGTGTGTATGTGTGTGTGTGCGTGTGTGTGTTCGGGGGGGTGGGGTGGGGTATTTCAGGGGTCTCATGGTTGCTCAATGCAGTGTCCAGCTTCCAGTGCTTCCCCCCTACCCCAAGTCCCACTTTGCGCTT